TACTTATATCCACAGTTGTCTGGACTTTAAAACAAAAATGATTTTTTCACCGGAAATGGGGTAAATATATAAAAATTTTGGGCTGTTATTAAAAATAATAAAGATTTTAGATAACTAGTTAACATTTTCACGAAAAGGGGAAAATTTTCTTAATTATAACCTCATCAAATTAACTGGAGATTAATGTGTATGTACGGACCCCCCCTTTTTCCTACTTTTGAAGAATTTATGGCCCCGAAAAATTTAAAAATTTTTAAAATTATCAGGTTTGGAGTTGTCCGTCCTGTCGCCTGATTCTCAAATTATGCAGGAATGCACATCCAACAATTTCGCCTCCTATTTGAGAGGTGTCAGCCCAATTTTAACCTCTAGAGCACGAAAAATTCTTCCCATTATTCACAACGTGTTATTCGATTCAAACAAAATGGCGGCTCACCTCCCCAGCCGAAGGTTTCCCATTTTCGATAACATACTTCTTTTAAAAATACAATATAGGGCATCTATTTACCTATAAATTACTGTATTTCTGGAAAATATACACAGTATTTTCCACACCTATTATACAGGATGAGTCAGTGTGACACCCACTATGCTGTATGAGTCATTGTGACACCTACTATACAGGATGAGTCAGTGTGACACCTACTATACAAGATGAGTCAGTGCGACACCTATTATACAAGATGAGTCAGTGTGACACCTACTTTACAGCATGAGTCAGTGTAACACCTACTATACCGGATGAGTTAGTGTGACACTGGTGACACCTACTATACAGGATGAGTCAATGTGACACCTACTATACAGGATGAGTCAATGTGACACCTACTATACAGGTTGAGTCAGTGTGACACCTACTATACAGGTTGAGTCAGTGTGATGCCTACTATACAGGATGAGTCAGTGTAACACCTACTATACCGGATGAGTTAGTGTGACACTGGAGTTTACCTGGAGAGAGTTCCGAGGGTCAACGCCCCCGCGGCCCAGTCTGTGACCAGGCCTCCTGGTGGATCAGAGCCTGATCAACCAGGCTGTTGCTGCTGGCTGCACGCAAACCAATGTACGAGCCACAGCCCGGCTGGTCAGGAACTGACTTTAGGTGCTTGTCCAGTGCCAGCTTGAAGACTGCCAGGGGTCTGTTGGTAATCCCCCTTATGTATGCTGGGAGGCAGTTGAACAGTCTTGGGCCCCTGACACTTTTTGTATGGTCTCTTAACGTGCTAGTGACACCCCTGCTTTTCATTGGGGGATGTTGCATCGTCTGCCAAGTCTTTTGCTTTCGTAGTGATTTTCGTGTGCATGTTCGGTACTAGTCCCTCTAGGATTTTCCAGGTGTATATAATCATGTATCTCTCCCGCCTGCATTCCAGGGAATACAGGTTTAGGAACCTCAAGCGCTCCCAGTAATTGAGGTGTTTTATCTCCGTTATGCGCGCCGTGAAGGTTCTCTGTACATTTTCTAGGTCAGCAATTTCACCTGCCTTGAAAGGTTCTGTTAGTGTGCAGCAATATTCCAGCCTAGATAGAACAAGTGACCTGAAGAGTGTCATCATGGGCTTGGCCTCCCTAGTTTTGAAGGTTCTCATTATCCATCCTGTCATTTTTCTAGCAGATGCGATTGATACAATGTTATGGTCCTTGCAGGTGAGATCCTCCGACATGATCACTCCCAGGTCTTTGACGTTGGTGTTTCGCTCTATTTTGTGGCCAGAATTTGTTTTGTACTCTGATGAAGATTTAATTTCCTCGTGTTTCCTCGTGGTGACACCTACTATACAGGATGAGTCAGTGTGTCACCTACTATACAGGATGAGTCAGTGTGACACCTACTATTTATTTATTAATTTATTTATTTATTTATTTATTTATTAACAATTTGAGCACACAGAGGTACAAAAAAATACAGATAAGAGCAGCATGCCAAAGCCACTTATACTATGCATAGCATTACGGGCTGGCTTAAAATTAACTTAAGATTAACTAAGCAATGATGAAATCAGTGATAAAACATTAATGTAAACAGATTACTATAAAGCACAAGTGAGTATTACAAAGACAGGTCATATGGTTGCATGCATTGTTGTACATTCAGTAGAATGGAGTATTCTGTTAGGTAGTGTATTTAAAAAATAATAAAGTTAGATTGGGTTTTAGGTTTAACATTTATGTGATATAATTGTGAGAAACATTTAAGATATACAATTTATAAGGTTCAGTTATTCAGTATTTATTTGGTTTTGGGTGAGTAAGTGATCTTTGTGAAGAGACTTGAATTTATAAACAGGTAGTGTTTCTTTTATATTTACAGGTAATGAATTCCAGATTTTAGGGCCTTTTATGTGCATTGAGTTTTTGCATAGTGTGAGAGGGACACGAGGAACATCAAAGAGTGATCTGTGCCTTGTGTTATGGTCATGTGTTCTGTTGAGGTTGGCAAGGAGATGTTTGAGGGGAGGGTTAATATCAGAGTTAAGTGTTCTATGTATGTAATAGGTGCAGTAATAAGTATGGATGTTTTGTATGGTGAGTAGGTTTAGTGTATTGAATATTGGTGGAGTGTGCTGCCTGTAGTGAGAATTTGTTATCATTCTAACTGCAGCCTTTTGTTGGGTAATTAGTGGTCTGAGATGGTTACTTGTTGTTGAGCCCCATGCACAAATTCCATAGGTGAGATAGGGGTAAATAAGAGAGTGATATAGGGCCAGGAGGGCTGACTGTGGAGCATAGTACCGTATCTTCGATAGTATGCCTATAGTCTTGGAAATTTTCTTAGAAATTTGTTGTACATGTGTATGAAATTTGAGTCTATTATCAAGGTGGATTCCTAAGAATTTTCCCTCTGTTAGCTTTGTGATAGGTGATCCGTTTATCATTATGTTAAGAGGGACATCTGTAGCTCTGTTACCAAACTGAATGAAGTAGGTTTTGTCAATGTTTATACAGGCTGAGTCAGTGTGACACCTACTATACAGGTTGAGTCAGTGTGACACCCACTATACAGGATGAGTCAGTGTGACACCTACTATACAGGTTGAGTCAGTGTGACACCCACTATACAGGATGAGTCAGTGTGACACCTACTATACAGGTTGAGTCAGTGTGACACCTACTTTACAGGATGAGTCAGTGTAACACCTAGTTTACAGGAAGAGTCAGTGTGACACCTACTTTACAGGTTGAGTCAGTGTGACACCTACTATACAGGTTGAGTCAGTGTGACACCTACTATACTGGTTGAGTCAGTGTGACATCTACTATCCAGGATGAGTCTGTGTGACACCTACTATACAGGTTGAGTCAGTGTGACACCTACTATACATGATGAGTCAGTGAGACACCTACTATACAGGATGAGTCAGTGTGACACCTACTATACAGGATGAGTCTGTGTGACACCTACTATACAAGATGAGTCAGTGTGACAACTATTATACAGGTTGAAACAGTGTGACACCTACTATACAGAATGAGTCAGTGTGACACCTAATATACAGGATGAGTCAGTGTGACACCTACTATACATGATGAGTCAATGTGACACCTACTATACAGGATGAGTCTGTGACACCTACTATACAGGATGAGTCTGTGTGACACCTACTATACAGGATGAGTCTGTGTGACACCTACTATACAGGATGAGTCTGTGACACCTACTATACAGGATGAGTCAGTGTGACACCTACTATACAGGTTGAGTCAGTGTGACACCTACTATACAGGATGAGTCAGTGTGACACCTACTATACAGGATGAGTCTGTGACACCTACTATACAGGATGAGTCTGTGTGACACCTACTATACAGGATGAGTCTGTGTGACACCTACTATACAGGATGAGTCAGTGTGACATCTACTATACAGGATGAGTCTGTGTGACACCTACTATACAAGATGAGTCAGTGTGACAACTATTATACAGGTTGAGACAGTGTGACACCTACTATACAGGATGAGTCAGTGTGACACCTAATATACAGGATGAGTCAGTGTGACACCTACTATACATGATGAGTCAATGTGACACCTACTATACAGGATGAGTCTGTGACACCTACTATACAGGATGAGTCTGTGTGACACCTACTATACAGGATGAGTCTGTGTGACACCTACTATACAGGATGAGTCTGTGACACCTACTATACAGGATGAGTCAGTGTGACACCTACTATACAGGTTGAGTCAGTGTGACACCTACTATACAGGATGAGTCAGTGTGACACCTACTCTACAGGATGAGTCTGTGACACCTACTATACAGGATGAGTCTGTGTGACACCTACTATACAGGATGAGTCTGTGTGACACCTACTATACAGGATGAGTCTGTGTGACACCTACTATACATGATGAGTCAGTGTGACACCTACTATACAGGATGAGTCAGTGTGACACCTACTATACAGGATGAGTCAGTGTGACACCTACTATACAGGATGAGTCAGTGTGACACTGGTGACACTTAGGTTTAATTTTAGTTATTAATAGCAGAGTATTTATAACCCTGGATTACCGAAGAAAGGCAGTTGGGTGGGGCTTATTTCTACTGTGTTGTTCAGGTGCTCTTCCTCAGAATGCTACCCACAAGAGTCAGCTGATAGTGGGTACCTACTTACTGCTAGATCAATAGAGGCTTGAGGTGTAAGAGAAAGTGCATACCATTTCTGCCTGTGCCGGAATCAAACCCTGGTACTTCAGAAGTTAGCTGAAGTAAGTTTTTTCAAGTTCAGTACAAAAGTTTATATATATATATATATATATATATATATATATATATATATATATATATATATATATATATATATATATATATATAATATATATATATATATATATATATTATATATATATATATTTACTATTATATAGTAACTTAAGAAAGTATTAACAAAGGATAACCTAATATAAATAAACACTAACTTATTTCCGCTGGGGTCCTGAAGGCGCAGCCACCTGAGCTAGAGTGGCACTTGTTACTTTTAGTGATACTTACTATAAACGACGAGTCAGAGTGACATATAAAACACTTATCAGCAGTGAGTGTATCCCACCAAGACTTTGTCCTCTTGTTGTTGTTGTTGTTGTTGTTGTTATGGTTATTAAGGGTCACTACCGTAGGAAGCTGTATGGAGCCGTACCTCCGGTTCCAGAGGATAACTATTATTACACTTAGTGGGACACACTAAACCCTTATGGGCAATACAGTGTCTCGGGGAGTGATAGATAATCAGATTCAGTCCAAGGAAATGTAAAGTACAGTGGAACCTCTGTTGTCGAATTTGATTCGTTCGAGAGTCGATTCGACAACCAAAATGGACGACAACCAAAGCAATTTTTCCCGTAAAGAATAATGTAAATAGAATTAATCCGTTCAAGACCCCATATGACAATACAGTAATTTATTAAATATGTACTAACTACCACATAAAACTGTATAAAATGGATACTAAAAGAAACTTTAACTGAAATACTGTACGGTAAATGAAAATTTAACTGCCTCTTACCTGTCAGAGGAGACCTAATGGCATACTGGAAGAAGATGGAGGATAGGAGGGGATATGTTATTGTTAATATGTCAGGCAACTCTCCTGGTGTTGTTTCTCTTCTTTGTCTTTTTTCACAACAAACACTTTGTTCTGGCTTACTGGTTCTTTGTCTCACTAAAAACCTGTCCAGTGAGGTTTGTTTCAGGCTCGGTTTTAACATTTGTCCAAATTGAGACATTACACTGCCATTGTGCATGTTACAGAGACGAATGGTCACTGCTTTGTCTGGAGGGTATTTTTCAGCAAACTCCTGCACTTAATGCCATATAGCACACATTTCTTTGACAAGTGCAATGGGCACTTCATCCCTTCCCTCTTGTTCCTCTGATGACAGCTCCTCAGCTGCAATCTGCTTCTGTGGCGAGTTCAGTTCGTCCTCGTCCACCAACTCATCCACATCATCTTCAGCCACCTCTAGGCCCAAGGTCTTCCCCAGGGACACAATATCCTCTACCGACTCAGGAAGAAAATGCCAGAGTGTTTAACAGATACATTGGTAACCGTATAAGTGGACCACCACAATTGAAGGTTAACAGCAGGCCTATTAATTATGTGTCTTGTAAATATCTAGGCATTACTGCTCCATGTAAGGACAGGGCTGCAAAGGACAATAAAAAATTAGGTCAACTATAAACTGCAATAAACACTGGTAAATAGACTACACAATTGTGATTGGACTGTAATTACAAGCTGCACGGACGTGAATGATGCCTGAGAAAAATTCAGAACAATATTCACTGCCATCCTTGATTGTATTGCACCAGTTAAAGAGGTTAGGGTTAAACAAAGAACTGAACCCTGGATAACTGCTAAGATATTAGATAATAACAAATTCAGTGGCCCCGGTGGCCTGGTGGCTAAAGCTCCCGCTTCACACACGGAGGGCCCGGGTTCGATTCCCGGCGGGTGGAAACATTTCGACACGTTTCCTTACACCTGTTGTCCTGTTCACCTAGCAGCAAATAGGTACCTGGGTGTTAGTCGACTGGTGTGGGTCGCATCCTGGGGGACAAGATTAAGGACCCCAATGGAAATAAGTTAGACAGTCCTCGATGACGCACTGACTTTCTTGGGTTATCCTGGGTGGCTAACCCTCCGGGGTTAAAAATCCGAACGAAATCTTATCTTATCTCTTATCAGTTACTAAAAAGATTTAGGGCAAACAGGAGGAAGTTGCAGACCTAAATGAATTTCAAAGGGTAAGGAACAGAGTGCAGAGGCTTATAAAAAGAGGAGAGACAAGGCACTATTGCTCAAAAATCGAAGAATGCAAGAACAATCTCAGAAAGCTTTGGCAGCAACTAAAAGAGATGGGGTATAGCCATAAACCTGCAGATAGATCTAACATAGTACTAAATATCGATAACGATGTATGCCATGAAAAAAACAAAGTGACAAATTGTTTCAATTCGTTTACACAAATGTCGCAACAACATCAATAAGTAAACTGGGAAAACCTGAGAGGTGCCCAACTCTGGTAATTACTACTGACATAGGTATTGTAAGATTAATTATCCTACCCTCACAATGCTCCCTTAATTCACTTCTTTGGAAAGGTTGAAATGCAGGACCAACGGTCTTGGTTTTCCCATGCACAAATTGGAACAAACCTGTGATTTGGAGTCTGTTCTAACTAGAAATTCCCTTGAGTCTACCCTGGCTAGCTTGACTGCCATGTGTACAGAAAAATGGTTCCTGTAAACAATTAAATAATGTTAGTAACTGTAAAATTCATCCCTGTATTCTCTGGGTGTGAAAAATACTGTATATATTTTCCAGAAATTCAGTATTTATATGTAAATAGATGGCCATACTGTATTTAATAATATTTATGTCATAGAAAACGGAAAGCCTGCGTCTGCGCAGACGGGACTCGCCATCTTGGTTTTGAATTTTGTACAAACGTTGGTGTAATGAGAAGAATTTTTCGTGCTCTAGAGGTTAAAATTGTGTTGACACCTCTCAAATAGGAGGCGAAATTGGTGGATGTGCATTCCTGCATAACTTGAGATATCAGACGACTACACAAGACAGCTCCAGGAACCTCAGATAAGCTCTCTAGATTTGTGTGTAATTCTGGCCAGCATTATTTTCATAGATTTAGTTAGAGTGAGGTTTTCTGAGTATTTATTTTTTATTTATTTATTTATTTCCAATTTGAGCACACATACAAAGGTACAAAAAAATACAGATAAGAGCAGCATGCCAAAGCCACTTATACTATGCATAGCATTACGGGCTGGCTTAAAATTAACTTAAGATTAACTAAGCAATGATGAAATCAGTGATAAAACATTAATGTAAACAGATTACTATAAAGCACAAGTGAGTATTACAAAGACAGGTCATATGGTTGCATTCAGTCATATGAAGGATTCTGTTAGGTAGTGTATTTAAAAAATAATAAAGTTAGATTCGGTTTTAGGTTTAACATTTATGTGATATAATTGTGAGAAACATTTAAGATATACAATTTATAAGGTTCAGTTATTCAGTATTTATTTGGTTTTGGGTGAGAAAGTGATTTTTGAGAAGAGACTTGAATTTTTAAACAGGTGTGTTTCTTTTTATTTACAGGTAATAAATTTCCGATTTTGGGTTTTTTGTGCATTGAGTTTTTGCATAGTTGAGATGGACACGGGAAATCAAAGAGTGTCTGGCCTTGTGTTTGGCGTGTTTGTTGAGGTTGAAAGGAGATGTTTGGGGGGGGTTAAATATCAGAGTTATGTGTTTTGTAGAAATGGGTGCAATAATAAGTATGGGTTTTTTTGTATGGTGAGTAGGTTTAGTGTATTGTTTTGGGGAGTGTGTGCTGTGTGAGAATTTGTTATCTTTTTAAACTGCCCCTTTTTTGTTGGGTAATTAGTGGCTGGATGGTTAAATTGTTTTTGGGCCCCCTTGCACAATTCCATGGTGAGTTTGGGGTAAATAAGGATGATATGGGGCCCAGGGGGTGACGGGAAATAGTACGTATCTTCCGATAGTACCCCTACAGTCTTGGGAATTTTCTTAGAAAATTTGTTGTATAGGTATGAAATTTGAGTCTATTACAAGGGGTTCCTAGTTTTTCCCCTTGTTAGTTTTGGGGAAAGGTGATCCGTTATCATTATGTTAAAGGGCATCGTAGCTCTGTTCCAATAAATGAAGTAGGTTTTGTCAATTTTTGTGTAAGTTTGTTACCCTATGGTGTATTTTCTGTAGTTGGTATTTCAGTTTTGGTAGCGTGACGGGGGCTGGGGTGAGAGAAGCGTATGTAGTTTTCATCTGCAAATAGGGGGTTTGATAATTGCGAAGCATTTGGAGGCTTTAGTATAGGGAAAGAGAAGAGGGCCCAAGGCATTCCCCTGTGGGACCCCCAACTGTTTGGTTGCGCAAAAGAGTTTGCCCCTTTTTGCGCACATATTGGCTTCTTTTGATGTTTACACATCAAACCCCAGTGAAAATTGAGGGGTGATTTTAAGATATATTTTCCTTTGTTATGTAATTGTGTTATTCCTGAGGGATGGAAGGGCATCTTGACTTTCCTGATGTGGATGGAATTAACCCTTGACATTTGTGTGGAGGGAATGTCATACCGTGACTTCCCTGATGTGGTGGAATGTCATCCCTTGACATTTGTGTGGATGGAATGTCTACCGTATCAGCTGTTTCATAGCGGTCGGGCGTCCCTCGTTGTGTCCTTTTTTTGGGTGTTTTCACGGTCCCCCTTTAGGGCTAGTTTTAAATTTGTGTCACAATCCTATACGATAAAAAAACCCTTAGCGCCTGGAACCCCAATCTTGGGCGGAAAAATTATATATGAGTAAAAAAGGGAATTGGGTGCCTTTAGCGAGTTTATGCCAGGGGGAATTGGGCCCTGTCCCGTGGGGGAAAAAATAAAAAATATTGAACTTTGGTAGGGGGGAAAGAAAGTCCCCTGAAAGTTTGAGTTCATGGTATAGTGTAACTAAGTGGCCCCTTTGTATTTTTATGATAAAGGCAAAAAGTGCATTTGAAAAGGTGAATTTGAAAATAAAGTGAAAAAGCCTATAGGGCGTCCCAGAAGTCGCCAGAAACTTCCCAAAAGGTCAGTGTTTTTTTAATCTTCCCGGCTGCTAGTGTACTGCTATAATCTAGTGATCCCGTGAAAAGCAGAATACAAGGTTTTTAGTAGAACTAACCTATTTTAATGGGACTTAGTGAAGTGGAGTGACTTTATTATTTTTTTTTAAAAAACCAGCGTTACTGTGAATTTTATTAACCTGTGTTCCGCGGTCGCAATAACACAAGAGAAGAATTATTATACGAAAAGCGCCCCTTCCTCCAAAATTTGCCAGTTTAATTAGGATAATTTTTTTTTTTTTTTTTTTTGCATTTATTGTGGGGGAGACGGAAAAAAAAAAAAAAGAAGCTAGATACAGGATAGATAAACAAAAGGGGGAGGTCGACCGTTCGTCATTTTAGGGTGCCAGCAGTCCCGGTCTTCAACCGCAAGTTATACTTTTGATCAATCAAATCCTATTCTCGGGTAGATAATTTCCCGTAGTCCCTTTAGTGTTAGCTCAAAACACCCACCCGTATGGTTTAAATAGTGGACCCCCTGAT